CTTTCTCCAAAGAGAAAGGAAAACTTAAAATCGCATCATATGACCCCTTTAAAAACACTACCACTGTGGCATACGGATACACCGCTTTCTGGCTTGCTTGAGAGCAGTCTCAATAAACCGTAATGAATCCACTTCCTTTCATATGTCAATTTGCCCTCAATATTTGTGTGTGAAAGGGGGTGGGGAGGTTGAGGGGTTAGTAGAGGTATTCTCATCATGTAATGAATCCTTGTCAAAGCGTAGAGTGTGCAGAAAGACATCGTCTTCCCCAGGTAATTAAATAGATCATCAGGCTGTAAGCTGTGCTCATCTCTTCCCTCCTGCCCACCCCCCCTCTAATCAATCTCTCCCTGCTGTGCAGACGGGATTATTTACTCCAGCTAATGGCCCTTCCTACTGCTCGTCGCTGCTTGGGAAAACGCAAACTGTCATTTCTGTAATTGTGTTCACTCCACAAAGATGGATGCTACCGCCATTGTGCCGTCGCTGCTTAATTTAATTTGCATGCGCCCTGTGGTTGCCGCAGGCGGAGCCCAGTGATGTGTTTGGATCGAGACAGACAACAACTCATTCTGTCCCCCATAGGACCGGCCTTCACTCTCAAAGCATGCACACTTGTTTCAATATGTGTAGAAATTTGCAAGCACGGTTTGATTTGGACACCAGCCGAACTGAACTGTCTTCTCGTTTAAAATGAAGCAGTTCTTCGTTCCTTCTCTCCAGGAACCCAGACGGTTGTAAATGAGAGCTAATGCAGCATAGTTCAAGAAAGTTCTCTGTGAATATTCTCCAGTCAGAGACAGATTGCGCTGCTGTCAGAGCTGATGGTCTCTCTTGCTTGATTAATTTAGCCTATATTTGTCCGATTTACATGCATCATGGTATTAAACGAAGCTGAAACATTCAGACGTGTCGGGGTTCCTAGATTCATTTTCTCAACCCTGCTGAGGAGGAGCAACAATTTAACATAAGGGGAAAAACTCCCAAAGAGTTTTAAAGAAAAACTCACGCTTGTATATGGAACACACACATTTTTAGGGGCCAGGCCTCCACTGTTGAGGCCTTGAGCTTTTGAAAAATGACATAGTTTGTGTGGAGGGTCCTCTTGGGAATAGAACATGTGTACAAGGTTATGTGACATTTATAATAATGTCTCAACAAGGCAGGAACAGCTCAGGACCCTCAGGAATTGTAAAACAGTGCTGTACTGCCAGGTACAACCCTCTTTTTCTCAGCCCGTGTGCCATTTATTTCACCATTTCCAAGAGCACATAAGTATTAAGAGCCAGTTTTGGGTTTTCTCTCTTGAAATGACCTGCATGGCTGTCAGTGTTCTCGCTGTCTTCGGCGATAATTCATTCAGACAGCCCTTTCTGTGGCGAGCTGCCTTCTCCATCCTTGAATTTGACTAATTAGCTCATCTTCTCCCTCGACGTGTCTTGCCACTTTAGCTTGTCTCTTTATAATTTAAAGGTTTAAGAGGCATCTAATCACTGCAGAATGTTTTAATGTATGATGGGTCTTTAAGTGTCATCACAGAAAATTTCACTCAAGCGGGGGAGATTAGTGTCGTATAAATGTGCAACATTTGCAATCATATGCAATTTTGGGTTTGGGTTTTCATCACGTTAACTCATTTTTGGGTTGTTAATGTGAGGCATTAAGCTGTTTAATTAGATTTTTTGTGTGTTCATTTGGTCAAGTAACGTTTAACGTTGTTCTTGTTATGTATCTAGGCTATAGAGACTGCACTGGATTGCCTGAAGAGTGCCAATACTGAGCCGTATTACAGACGACAGGCCTGGGAGGTGATCAAATGCTTCCTCGTTGCCATGACCAGCCTGGAGGACAACAAGCACGCCCTTTACCAGCTCCTCGCCCATCCCAAGTAAGACATCCACTTAATGTGTCATGTAGGGTTGTAACGGTATGAGATTTTCACGGTATGATAATTGTCTCAGAAAATATCGTGGTATCACGGTATACGGTATTAAACAATCAAAACAGGGTTTTTTTTTTGGTTGAACAAGTGTTTGAAAGCATGTGTTTATTCAAATTTCATTAATCAAAAACAAGTAAATTTCATCACTGATTATTTATTAGTTTAACAACTTATATTTATCATTAATAATTCATAAAAATTCATAAATTCTGGTTTGACTTAATTTTTCTGGATTCTGTACTTTTATGATTTAATACAAATATACTATCAAAAATGGTGGTAATGAAATTAATGCATAAAGCTTTAACAATTTAATTAATGAATATCTAGGCTATAGAGACTGCACTGGATTGCCTGAAGAGTGCCAATACTGAGCCGTATTACAGACGACAGGCCTGGGAGGTGATCAAATGCTTCCTCGTTGCCATGACCAGCCTGGAGGACAACAAGCACGCCCTTTACCAGCTCCTCGCCCATCCCAAGTAAGACATCCACTTAATGTGTCATGTAGGGTTGTAACGGTATGAGATTTTCACGGTATGATAATTGTCTCAGAAAATATCGTGGTATCACGGTATACGGTATTAAACAATCAAAACAGGGTTTTTTTTTTTGGTTGAACAAGTGTTTGAAAGCATGTGTTTATTCAAATTTCATTAATCAAAAACAAGTAAATTTCATCACTGATTATTTATTAGTTTAACAACTTATATTTATCATTAATAATTCATAAAAATTCATAAATTCTGGTTTGACTTAATTTTTCTGGATTCTGTACTTTTATGATTTAATACAAATATACTATCAAAAATGGTGGTAATGAAATAAATGCATAAAGCTTTAACTATTTAATTAATGTTTTAAATTTAATCAAATAAAAATAATCCTTTATCCTTTTATGTTTTTGCAAAGGGCTGCACAACAGAGATTTACTAAATAAAAATGAGGGGAAAAATTGTATTCCTTAAAAATGTTTATGTAAATTATTATTATTATTTTAGAAGTAGGCTACATTATAGTACTATCGTAATTTCTGTCAATTTCTTCGAGTTAAAAAGCGGACTTTTGTTTTGACGTGTTGTAGTGAAGAGCTTTGAGTGTCAGAATGTATTTGACAGTGGTTTCCTCAAATAAAATGATGAAATGATTATTAATTGTTCTCTCAGTGAGGCTCTCAGTGTTTGTGTTCACGTCCTCAGATAGTGAGACAGCAGGCGCTGTTAAACACTATGAGCGATGCCGGCACATACTTGAGTATGTAGTACACGACACAGCGCCACTCATTCACAGAGAGACACGCAAAACACAGATTATATATTTATATAGCAGTGTTTTTGTCGTTATTTTACAGCTCTGTTTTTGATTTATTCATCAATCCATCAAATCGCGCATTTTATGTGACATCTGCATTGTAGCTAGCTACTGTAAATTCATTGTCATGACTGGATTCTGGGATTCACGGAAATTATAAGGCTTTAACCTTAAGTTATAGATGGGACATAGCTGTATCTGCACGGAGGGATGGTGTTCTGAAATATAGGTAAACATGTTCGATGTGTTTCTTCTTTTTGCAGCCGCTTTCCGACCACATTTTTTGCGAACTGTGTCTATCCTCGAGGACAAATAAGCGTTCGTCTTTTCTATATTCAAAGTATTCCCATACTGCCAATTTTAACTCATTTTTCGACGTGGGATAGAGATTAGAGATAACGGCCTCTGTCTCTGATGTTGTCTCCGCTGTACATGTGGGTGGAGCAAGAGAACAGTTAAGTGGAAAGTTGTTGCCTAGGCGCAGGTGAGATTCTGCGTCTGTTATTTTCTCCCAATACTGTAGATAAGCAAATGTACACGGTATGATAATCGTACGTGTTTATATCGTGGTATATCATCATACCGGTATATCGTTACAACCCTAGTGTCATGCACTGGCACTTGTGTAAATAGCTCAACATGAAACCGTATTTTTCCTATTAAAAATCTCTAGGCCAATTGTTTTTTATTTTTGTTGTGAAAGGCATGACACTGACAGCTCAAGTTCTTGAGTAGGGATGCAACAACTTATATATTCATAAAATCTATAATAATCTGAAAAATTCTCAACAAATCTGATTATCGATCAGTCGCATTATATGCGCATTGTACACAGAAAAGTTTGAAATACAGTGGAGGACACAGCCTGAGCTGCTGTGGGAAAAGTACTTGAAAGTTATCTAAAACAGGAGAATGTTTTATTTATAAAATTGCTGTTGAGTTGAAAACTACTTAGTTTTACTATTTAGTGATTTTATTTTTACATTTTTAAGCAGTTTTAGAATGTTTCCTTTTTTGCACTTAATATAGTGTACAGCATAGCCTACATACATAGATTCATCTACAGGGTATTTTAAAAGACCTTTATATATATTAAAAATACAGAAAATCCATTTGGGTTTTTAAAAACCTTATTAATAGGGGGAATAATTGACAGTTAATTCGTTTATCAAAATAACTATTAGTTGCAGCCCTGTTCCTGTGCATTGTGAGGCTGAAACCTGCCTCTGCATTTTTCACTGTTTTTGCTATGTTTGCAGCTCCTCTGGGCCTCATCCAGCCTGGCCGCCACTGTCTACAGTGTTCAAAGGGCTAATTACTCAGAGCCGTTTCTACTGGCTGGGCTGGAGGGTCACATAACAGAGTCATTGATCTCCACGCTGAGGCTAATTGACTGTACTTTATCTGTTTACCCCAAAAGCCAGTCATACGGGCCCCTTCCGAAATAACCGAGTGTCAGTTATATGGGAGGAGAGCTGCTGCCGCTGTCAGATGTCTTGATTCATGACATCCTCTCTCCCTCTTTCAGTGTGGCACACTGTGCTGGTCATCATGCAAGGGGCCTTTTTCAGAAGGCGGAATGCCCTCTTAATATCGCAAATGCCAGGCGGATAATTGAGTTCCATTCAAGTGGCAGCGTTATGAATTTGAATTGATCTGACCGCTCTCTTCGGCTCAGTCCTCTCCCTACGCCAAGCCTTTTAAATAGCGATAATGAATGGAGCGATCCATCACCACTGCTACCGGCTTTGGCATTATAGAATACAGGCTTGAGGAAGGATAAAACGCTCACTCCATCACTGTGCTGCTATCAGCTGGGATAAATAACCAAACATGAGACAAAATGTCAGCCAGACACAAAGCCAGACTCCCATGGGGCTCAGCTGTCCAAACACAAAAAGCCTTTTATACTCGGTAATCAAATCGCCTGATTGGGTTATTATTCAACCTCAGGCGCATGTAATGGAGCGAGTTCATGGATGCGATGCGAATTATGAGCTAAATCCCTTTGCTGGTTTTCAACAGCTTCACAGAGAAGTGGATCCCTAACGTGATCATCTCCCACCGGTACAAAGCCCAGGACACCCCGGCACGCAGGACGTTCGAGCAGGCCCTGACGGGGGCGTTCATGTCCGCAGTCATCAAGGATCTCAGGCCCAGCGCTCTGCCTTTCGTTGCCAGCTTGATCCGCCATTACACTATGGTGGCAGTGGCTCAGCAGTGTGGTGAGGAATCTTTCTGCCTCTCTGCTAATGTCATCTATATTGAAGTTCAGTCTTAACATGACTTGAAGTGTTTACCTACGCAATGTTTAGAGAGGGATTTAGGTTAAAGGGATAGTTCACCCAAAAATGAAAATTCTGTCACTAATTGTTCACCCTCATGTCGTTCCAAATCCGTAAGACCTTCGTTCATCTTCTGAACACAAATGTAGATATTTTTGATGAAATCCGAGAGCTTTTTGACCCTGCATAGACCGCAACGGAACTACCACATTCAAGGCCCAGAAAGGTAGTGAGAACATCAATAAAATAGTTCATGTGATATCAGTGATTCAACCGCAATTTTATGAAGCTACGAAAACTTTTTGTGTGCAAAGAAAACACTTTTTTTCGACAATTTATTCTCTTCTGCGTCAGTCTTTGATGGGCATTCATGAGAGTACCACAACGTGGGTGAACTAACCCTTTAAAGGGGTCATATGATGTTGCTTAAAAGAACATATATTTTGTGTATTTGGTGTAATGCAATGTAGGTTCAAAAAAACACATTATTTTCCACATACTGTACATTATTGTTTCTCCTCTATGCCCTGCCTTTCTGGTGCTAACATTGGTAGTTATTTAATATTAGTAAGGTATCTAGAACCACTGCATTACTGTTATTTTTTTCACTCATTTTCTTGAATGAATATAATGAATATAATTTATGACCTTGTGGAAAGAAATGCTTGGCGTCTGGATCGTACAAAATGGTAATTAATACTCCTCCTGAACTAAGAACTTAATGTCCAACCTGTCCCAGTATGAAGTCCTTATCCCCACAAATTTTAATCAGGACTGATTTTCTGATTTTTCAGTTGTACGGAAAATAATGGATGTGAGGATTGACTTTAGCTGTCTGTTCCTTGACCTATGACTCTTCTTCTACATTTGAGTCGGCATAAGGATGCAAAATTCATTTAAATAAAATTTTGTTATTTTTTACTCTAGTAATATTACTATTGTACCATAAAAAAATATTATTATTTTAGCTAGTGAAATATACCTAAGTGTCCCAACAGCCTTAAAGAGTAACTTTCTATTGGCAGCAGAGACATAGAAAACAAGTGACATTGCTTGGCTTTTAGCACATCCTATTTTAAAATTATTTCAACAATGTAAGTTTTTATTTTCTGTCTGTGTGAGAAACATCCGAAGTGCACTCAGATCATCACATAACTCAATTTTCTGCCCTAGGTCCCTTCTTGCTGCCATGCTACCAGTCAGGCAGCCAGCCCAGCACGGCTATGTTTCACAGTGAAGAGAACGGCTCCAAAGGCATGGACCCCCTCGTGCTGATCGACGCCATCGCCATCTGCATGGCCTACGAGGAGAAGGAGCTGTGCAAGATTGGGGAAGTGGCACTTGCTGTCATCTTTGATGTTGCCAGCATTATCCTGGGCTCCAAGGAAAGGGTGAGGACTTCTCTTGAAATGTGTCTTCCCATCAACCCTCAACGGACACCTTGGCAATTATATCGCCATTGGCTAGTGTATTTTTTTGTTTACTCGCCAGACTGAAATACTATACTATATATATATATATATATATACAGTGGGTACGGAAAGTATTCAGACCCCCTTAAATTTTTCACTCTTTGTTATATTGCAGCCATTTGC